TTTTCGCTTGGGGCCAGGCCCAATTCTTTTCATTCTAACCCAAAAACAATCTCTTTTTCTGTCATCCGCCTACACCCACGCACTTTTAAAGCAACCCAGTTTTATAAAGTTTTTCTTTTTCTCTTTTTTAGTAATTTAAAAGGGAAAAGGGGGTTACTAGCCCTGCCCCCGGTTTTTTTGTGCCTCATACGACAGAGGGGCTTGGGAGGAAAGATTCTTTTCCACTTCCCCTGGACAATAGAAGAAATAAAAAAAAAACAAGAGCTATTTAAAAAAAGGGAAAAAAACCCTGATGTATGTTATTATATAGCATGGCGGTCTTAAGTGTACCAAAGTGTAAGTAGGAGTAGCAAGAACCCCTGTTATCTTAGCGTTTTATGAACAAAAAAAGAAACCAAAATCCTCCCATCATGCAAAACAGTTACAGGTTTTTGTTTAAAGTCATCTGGCGGAGGTAGTACTTCCTGGGGGGTTGCTTTACCAACCTCTACCTTAATTTATATATATATATATAATATTATATATATTATATATATATATATATATAAATATATATTATATACACGGGAAGGGCCCCCCGTTTTAGGGCGTTTCACTTTAGGGCTTCCGCTAAATCATTTCAAATTATGCCCAAAACTCGCTAGGGGCGGCCCCCCCCACCTGATTTCAAATTTGGGTCACCGGCCCCACCTTTTTGTTTACATTCTTCGGAGCTCATAACCAAGTCTTCAATTTTGTCTGGAAACCCCAAAATTTAAAAGTTTTTAAAAGTTTTTTCATTTTTTTAAATATACTTGATAATTATACTTATGTATACCGTATTTAAAAAAAATTACATACTGTGCTGGGGATGCAGGTACAATTAAAAACATAAGAGTGTCTTATGTCTCCAGACGTCAAATTTTTTAATGATAATAATAATCACGTCTCTTTTTAAAGTCTATATTACGTTAAATACACATTTTCATTAATCCACATGATATTTTTTTTTAAAAATTATATAATAAACACATACATAAAAAAAAAGTGAAAATACACCCCACAATAGAATAAAAAAAAAATAGAGTGTGGAGCAACGACTTTCACAAGTGACGCCATATTTTGAAATCTAATAAAAAAAAATATTAAATCACCCAGTCTTTTTAAAAAGTTTTTATATTAGTTAATTACACTTTTCATTAATCCCTCCCGATATTTTTTCAAAAAATTTTAAAAAACCTACATAAAATAAAAAAAATGAAAATAACCCACAATAGAATAAAAAACATAAATAGAGATGTCTAGCCAGATCTTGTACAAGGATGCCAAGAAAAACTTTTCTCTAATCTAACTAGGAGAAAAGTCTTTCTTCCCGGGGGTAACTGTAGAAAATTTTTCCCTTTTTTATGTATGTAAGTTTTTTTCAGGGAATCACAAATCAGTTACATAGTTAAACATAACAACATATGTGAAAAGAACCTAGGATAACCCAAAAAAGTCAAGGGGACTTATTTCCATTTCCTTTACTCAGACCATCATTTCTTCTCAAAATATTTTCTGAGAATGGAGTGTTCTTCTTTTTTATTTGCTGATAATGTAGAGAAACCTGACACAATGTAACTTGTACACAAACCGACTTACACTTTGTTTCAAAAATTCCCTTCGCCTGGTTTTTTAAAAACCTGCGCCGTCCCTCTCATGCACCCTTCTTTCTTCTCTCATTTTTCTTTTTTTTCATTTACTTACTCCTGACCCAATTAACCCTTTCAGGGTCCAAGGCCCCAAACGGAGTCCGCACCCCTGTCCCAAAAATTTTCAAAAAAAAAATTTGTTTTTTTTCTTATGAAACATAGAGAATCTTTTTGGGGAAGGGAATAAAACAAAAAATACGAAATTTGGTGGGGAAAAATTTACGAAATTATGCTCTCGCAAAATTTTTTGTGTCAGCGATATTTTTCGAATCGGCGATTTTGCCGACTTTTTACTCCCCTTTTTGGCCAATTACATTATTCCATCAACCAAATTTTTACATTTTACTAGTATTACTTCATTCTATCGATTGAGCACAAGAAAACGCCAAGTCAACTGTTTCAACTACAAAAAAAAGTGATGAAATGTTTAAATTTTTCCAATTTAAAACAAAGTTCAAAAAATTCCAATTTTAAAATAGGGCCCGATGAACAAAGTAGGCATTCCGGGACTAAACTAACATTTTCCCCTGTTCATTAGTTATGTTTTTTAGGGTTTCAAATAAATTCCTTTTGATTTTTTATTCACATAAGAATTTTTATTTACACCAAAAAATAGAAGATTTACTGTTTGCAATACTGTAATAATTGAAAATTCTCACCAATTTGTGAAGTATATTAGACCCACCAGCTGGCGGTTTAGACGTGTGAGGTCGTTTGTTTACCTTGAATATCGGCAAAAATTTAACATTTCTCTACTTTGGCTCGTTTAAGTTTCCCGTGCTAAAACCCAAACAAAATCATCTCTATTTTGTAAATGTCTTCCCTTCTTCAAAAGACCAAGAAAACGCAAATACAACTATAAAAAAATACGAAAAAACACTGCAAAGTTTGCTGTTTTAATCGAAAAAACATGATTTTTATTTTTTTTTTTCTCATTTTAAAACAGGTGCGCGGATCTGTTTTAGTGGTCACACTACCACTGATATTTTCCCCAAATTTTAGGCCCCAAAAAGACCATCAATTTTTCAGAGTAGCGAGCTCAGGGAAGATTAGGTTTGGACCCCGAACGTAAAGCCCTAGACTACGGGGCGGACCCGAAAGGGTTAAGCACAAAATTTTAAGGGAAGTAATGAAATGAAAACTGTTATACATTTTTTTGCTCTGGGACTTAAATATCATGGAATATATGTTGGGGGGGTTTGGGGCCGGTATGGTAGCCCGGCTGACTCCATAAAACCACACTTATTTTTTTCAAAATACTAACCCTCTAAACCCAAAATTTTTTAAAGGGAAAATGATGAACTGTAATACATTTTATTTCTCTGGGGTGCTTTAACCCCTTTCAGGGTCCCCAAGGGCCCCAAAACTGGGGCACGCACCGTGTCCAAGAATTTTTTAAAAAAAAAAAATTGTTTTTTTTCTTATAAATCGAGAGAATCTTTTTTTGAAGGAATAAAACAAAAATAAAAAATTTGGGAAAATTGCGAAATTAAGCTCTCGCAAATTTTGAGTTCAGGATATTTCGGATCCGATTTTGCCGACTTTGACCCCATTTTAAAACCAATTACATTATTCCAATCAACCCAAATTTTTAGCTATTTCCTAGTATTTCTTCTATTTTATCGATTGAGCCAAGAAATCGCCCAAATCAACTTTTCAATACAAAATAAAGGAAAAGAAAATTTTTAATTTGGCCAATTTAACACAAAGTTCAAAATATTCAATTTCAAAATAGGGCCCAAAGAATGAACAATGTAGGCATTCCTGCACTAAAACTAACATTCCTCTGTTCATTAGTTTGTTTTGAGGCTTTACAAATAAATTCCATTTTTATTTTTTATTCACATAATGAATTTTTTATTCAACCCCAAAAAATAGAAGTTTTTTACTGTTATGGCAATACTGTAATAATTGTATAAAATATCATCACCACATTTGTGAATGTATATTAGACCCACCAGCTGGCGTGTATTAGATGTGTGAGTCGTTTGTTTACTCTTGAATATCGGCAAAAATTTAAAAATTTCCGTGCTTTGAGCTCAGTTTCAAGCCATTTCCAATGCAAAAAACCAATCAAAATCATCTCTATTTCTGTAATATGTCTTCCATTCTATCAAATGAGACCAAGAAATCGCAGATACAACTATAAAAAACATACGAAAAAACACTGCAAAAATTGCTGTTTTAATCGAAAAATCATGATTTTATTTTTTTTCTCTCATTATACACAGTGTGCTGCAGGATCTGTTTTTGTGGTGCACACATACCACATAGATGTATTTTCTCATACTAGGCCCAAATGTACCACTCACATTTACCCAGAGGACTGAGCCCCAGGGGGCGTAATCTACGGGTTTGGACCCTGAATTTTAAAGCCGTGATCAAAGGGGAGGACCCTGAAAGGGTTAAATATCATAAAATTAAATTGTGTGGGTGGGGGGGCCCCGGGGTATGGTAGCCTGGTTTTGACTACCATACATACCAACTTGTTTCTTACAATAAATACTATTTGCCCTCACCCTAGATTAAGACAATAAATTTTTTAAGGAAAGTAATAAAGTGAAACTATGTGTGTTTTTTGTATTTTTTTATTGTTTTTTGATGCCGGTTTCTATTTTTTTAAAAACCTTAATAAATTTTAGTGTAAACTTTTTTATCTATGTTTGTAGGGCTTTTTGTAGGGGAAAAAAAAGGGTTTCCCCCTTTAAAAACGGGGGTTTTCCGCTTTAAAACCGGCGGAAAGCCCGGGAACCTAACCACCCTTAAAGGGGGGCCCTTCCTTATTAATAAAAATATATAAAAAATAGGGAGGAAACCCCCTTTTCTAGAACTGCTATAGGGCCCCCCAAACCTCGGGGAAAAACTAAAGGTTTCCCCTAAGCTTTTTGAGAATTTTCCCCTACCCCCCCCCTATTTTATGTAAAATTTTTAATTTAAAGAAAACAATACATTGACAAAACTTTCAAAAAAAAAAATACGATAGAAAGTAAAAAAACAAAAGGTAATTCAGAGCTACATCTCGAATCCCTTCGTTCAGCCCCCCGGTTGGTGGGCCGCGGCCCAGAATGCTGCAGGCTTTTCCCCTCTCGGGGATTGAAACCCCCTGAGCCCTCTGAAAGAGGGAAACTGGTCGCCCGTCCCCCTTTGGTTTCTATGTGAGTTTTTTAAACCCACTTTTTTTTGGGAAATATATATAATAAATAAAATATATATATTATATTATAAAAATATAAAATATATATATAATATAAATATATATATATATAAAATATATTTTTGTGTGTGTGTTGAAATTTAAACCCTTTTTTTCGGGGCGAAAATGTTCAAAAGAGACGAAGGCTCACAGCAAGGCTATAAAAAGGGAACTGGGGAAAATTTGGGAGTGGCTCAAGCCAACCAAAATGTTCTACCTGACTCAGTACATCCGATAACTTCATGTCTGGGGGAGGTAGGTGACATGTCTTGTCCCTGTCTCATGCAGTCTTGTACCTGACTCAGAAACAAACCTGATAATTTAAAATGCCCTGGGGGAAGTGGGAGACATGTTTTGTACCTGATTTCCCTATATTTTGGGGTACCTGACTCCGTAAAAACCTGATAACTTCATGTCTGGGGGGAGGTAGGTGACATGTTTTGAAACCTGTCTCGTGCATGTCGTGTATGTGTCCAACTTTGGTCTTGAAACCTAAAACCATACATGTCTTGTACTGTCTCATACATGTCGTGTATGTGTCTCATAAATGTCTTGTCCTCTGAATAAAAGGATTGTATAATTTCATACAAGAACAAAAACTAAAGGTGAAAAAAGGGGACAAAAACCCCTTTTAACAAAAAAAAATCCATCTTCCCTTATATAAAATTTCCCCTCAAATTTTCTGAGAGCCCTCAGTGTACAGTGGAACCCCAACCCGCGATATTAATCCATTCCTAAGCTCATCGTTTTAAACAAAAAAATCGTTAGTCAAATTAATTTTCCCCCCTAAAAATAATGGAAATCAAATTAAAAAAAACCTTGCAAACCCCTCCCAAAGTACAGTGGCCCCCCCGGGTTTAAAGATATTTTTTCATTCCAAAGTATGTTTAGGTTTCCATATGACCAAATTTTTTTCCCATAAGGAATATTGGAATAGATTATTTCCAATTTTTAGCCCCCAAACATACACGGACAAAACCCCTTAAATAAAAACACTTAAAATAATTGGTCGCATTGGAGGGGTTCGTTTTAAAGGGGGGGGGCCCTGTATTGAAAAAAAAAATTTTTCCAAAAAAATTTAATTTAAAACCACAAACTGAAGAAGACAAGGGACAGTTTCATGACAATTAACCTTTTTTTTTAAGATCGGGGATGATTGATGGGGGTGGGGGGAGGGAGACATTGAACTTGTTAGTGTTTTTGATGGGGAAACCCCTTCCCTTAGCACTTGGGGGGTAAAACAATCTTTTTCGGGGTTCCCTTTCCCCTTTTCTTTGGAAAGGGCCAAAAAACCACTTCAGGTCCCCTGGACTTCTGTCGCCAAACATATCTGCCATAGAGGCCTGTACCTTTTTTTCCTTTAAACCTAAAATGTTTCACAAATTCAGTGTAAAAATCACCACACGGCTTTTCAATAGCTTGTGAGGGTATTTTCACCAAAAGGTTTTCCCCTTTTAAAACCAATTGCACAATTTCCTTAAACTTTGAAGAGGCAACTTTTTCAATTTTCTCCCCCCCTCCCCCTCCTCCAAGCAGTTTTCCTCAGGGGTGGCCTCTTACTTTTGAAGATGCCTAGCAGCTCATCAGTGGTTAAATTCGATTTCCCCCCTCCACCAACTCTTCCACATCCCCCCACTAACCCCCCCAAATAGCACTAGTTCCAGGGATTTTTTTTTTCCCGTTCACCTGGGGGTTTGCAACTTTTTGTGGGGCCCCATCCTTGGGGGGGAAGATTAAGGACCCCCAATTGGGAAAAATGTAGACAGTCCTCGAAAGATGCACTGACTTTCTTTGGGTTTTTCCCGGGTGGGTAACCCTCCGGGGGTTTAAATCGTTTTTCTCGGTAATTGTTTTAGGTTAAACCACACCAACAACACTCTCTCCAAATCTTCGAGTAATACAGCTGATGGTGGTGCAGCAACAACAACAGCTGACTGTGGTGCAGCAGCTGCTGCACCATTGGCAAGAACAGCTTCCTTGATTTCCGTTTTCTTACCCGCAATAGTACGATGGTTGATTGGGTTTATTATACAACCTGACCAGCTCAGAGACATGCACTCCACTTTCATACTTAGCAATGATCTCTTTCTTCATCTCCATAGTAATTCTCACCCTTTTTGCTGTAGGGTTGGCACTAGAAGCTTTCTTGGGGCCCATGGTGACTTATTTTGCAGGTGCAATCACTACAAAGGCTGTGATAATATGAAATGTTCCAGTTGTTGTATGTTTGGAAGCGACCGCGGTGGCTGGCTGGCTTGTAAACACTGGCACCAAGGGACAAGTGAGGCGCGCTCAGGCCAAAGTGGACGCGTATGGTACGGAACGAATAACGCTGGTCGGGTTTTTAAGCGCTAGTTGAGGCAAAATTTTTGCGTTAAAATGTATCGCTAGTCAGATTTATCGTTAATCGATGCCATCGCTGGTTGAGGGTCCACTGTATATGTAAATAAGATGAATACCGAGTTTCACTATAATCGGAAAAAAAATTAGTAGTAAATAAAATTTTGAGGTGGCAACACTTGTATTACTGGACAAGTAATGACTACAATAAAGGTTGTTTGGCCATTTTTCAGTGATGAAACAGTGGTAAAATGGATTTTTTGATGAGGTCAAAGTATATAATACAGTGGACCCCCGGTTAACGATATTTTTTCATTCCAGAAGTATGTTCAGGTACCAGTACTGACCGAATTTGTTCCCATAAGGAATATTGTGAAGTAGATTAGTGCATTTCAGACCCCCAAACATACACGTACAAACGCACTTACATAAATACACTTACATAATTGGTCGCATTGGGAGGTAATCGTTAAGCGGGGGTCCACTGTGGTTACTATAACTAAATACAGCCTCTCCTCACTTAACGATGGAGTTCCGTTCCTAGGACCAAGTCAGTAAATAAATTTGTTAAGAGTGAGGAGCATACTATAATGGTAGTGGGTTTGTGTTGACCGTCTTTGATATTGTTTTAATGTCACCTTTTCACCATTTATTATGTTTTTAGTATTATTAACACACTGGCCGATTCCAGTATATTTTTAAATATTTATAAAGTAGTGTACTGTATATTGTAATAAACAGAATAGAGGAAATCGACTCTAAAATACATTATTTAGGTATGCATACTGGTAAGAGAGCCCATCGTAAGTCCGAGTTGTCGGTAAATGAATACGTCGCTGAGTGAGGAGAGGCTGTATCGGTACTGAAAAGTCAACAGGCGAATACAAGTTATGGACTTGCCACCTTCGTGCTGGATAATTATCCTAGTTTCATCTACAAAGTACAGTAGGACTCCCATATCTGCAGGAGATATGTTCCGAGGACCTACCATGAACACTGAAGCCATTAGTCAGAGGGCAGAAGAGGGGTTGTTGAGGTGGTTTGGTCATTTAGAGAGAATGGATCAAAGTAGAATGACATGGAAAGCATATAAATCTATAGGGGAAGGAAAGAGGGGTAGGGGTCGTCCTCGAAAGGGTTGGAAAGAGGGGGTAAAGGAGGTTTTGTGGGTGAGGGGCTTGGACTTCCAGCAAGCGTGCATGAGCGTGTTAGATAGGAGTGAATGGAGACGAATGATACTTGGGACCTGACGATCTGTTGGAGTGTGAGCAGGGTAATATTTAGTGAAGGGATTCAGGGAAACCGGTTATTTTCATATAGTCGGACTTGAGTCCTGGAAATGGGAAGTACAATGCCTGCACTTTAAAGGAGGGGTTTGGGATATTGGCAGTTTGGAGGGATATGTTGTGTATCTTTATATGTATATGCTTCTAAACTGTTGTATTCTGAGCACCTCTGCAAAAGCAGTGATAATGTGCGAGTGTGGTGAAAGTGTTGAATGATGATGTAAGTATTTTCTTTTTGGGGATTTTCTTTCTTTTTTTGGGTCACCCTGCCTCGGTGGGAGACGACCGACTTGTTGAAAAAAAAAAAAAATATATATATATATATATATATATATATATATATCATTTTTTGTTTAAATACACCTACCATCCGACTTACAACTTGCTCGACTTACGACCACTCGACTTACGACCGTGTTTTTTATGCCAAATTTCTGGGAAATAAACCAGTATTTGTGTTGTACACAGTGTTTATCCTAAACCTTACAGTATAAAATACAGAACTAACAACATAAAAAGTAAAGTAAAACATGAAATACCAAAATAAAACAATAAAATAAAGTCATTACAAAAATGTTTTGTTGGTATTCAGTAGTAAAGTTCGACTTACGACCATTTCAACTTACGACCGGTTTCTCAGAACCAAACTCGGTTGTAAGTCGGATGGTAGGTGTACATACCTATTATAAAGTTTAATTAATAAATTATGCACAATAAGTGGAGAATTATCATTTTTTTCACTGATGGGAAGCACTTCACAGCTTCTCTTAGGTTTTGAAGAACTCCCACCAACACTACTTTTGCGCTTCGAGGCCATTGTTGTTAAGCAAAATTAAGGGTTATATTCGGGCCATGGTAAACTGTGGATAACTGAAACAATGGATACAGGACCCATGGATACGGGGGTCCTACTGTAATTGCTTTTGCACCACTGTAAAGTTAAAATGCTCTTAAGTTGAAGCATGGTATGTTGAACTTAGAATTATTGCACAGAAATGAGACTTGAAACAAAATGTTGCCACATTTTTGGCTGATTTCTCTGTTATGGTCACTACTTTTTGTATTTTTTTGAGAATTTTTTTCGATGCTTTCCAACCAAATTTATTGATTCCTCCTTAACCCTTTCAGGGTCCATACCGTAGTTCTGTGTCTTTGAAGCCAGAGTCCATACCGTAGTTCTGTGTCTTTGAAGCCAGAGTCCATACCGTAGTTCTGTGTCTTTGAAGCCCGAGTCCATACCGTAGTTCTGTGTCTTTGAAGCCAGAGTCCATACCGTAGTTCTGTGTCTTTGAAGCCAGAGTCCATACCGTAGTTCTGTGTCTTTGAAGCCAGAGTCCATACCGTAGTTCTGTGTCTTTGAAGCCAGAGTCCATACCGTAGTTCTGTGTCTTTGAAGCCAGAGTCCATACCGTAGTTCTGTGTCTTTGAAGCCAGAGTCCATACCGTAGTTCTGTGTCTTTGAAGCCAGAGTCCATACCGTAGTTCTGTGTCTTTGAAGCCAGAGTCCATGCCATACTTCTATGGTTTTGAAACTAGGGTCTATGCCATAGTTCTGTGGCTTTGAAGCCAGAATCCGTACCATAGTACTACATGATGAGCTCACTCATAAGCTGTGAGCGGTGAACATAAGACTAAATATGATAGAATGGGTCGATGCAGTAAGTGTGCACCATATAAAATAAATCTTGAAGCGCACAGTGCATAATTAGGAGAAAATAATTGCAAATGTGTTTTTTATTTAAAACACCAACTTTGCGGTGTATTTTTGTATGTTTTTTGTGGTTATATTCTCGGTTTCTTGTTCTCATTTGGTAGAATGGAAGATATATTACAGAAATAGTGATGATTTTGAGGATGCAAAATAGCTTGAAATTGAGCTCAAAATAGCATAATTGTTCGATTTTTGCCAATGTTCAAGAGTAAACAAATCACGTCACACATCCAATACACGTCAGCTAGAGGGTCTGATATGCATTCATGAATGCACTGATATTATATATACAATTATTACAATATTTCATAGCAGTAACTTTTATTTTTGGTATGAATAGAGTTTTGAGACTCTATGACCGCGGGTTCAATCCCGGCCGGGGGTATGGTTAATAAAAAATCAAAATGGAATTCATCTGTAAACTCTGAGAATGCAATTAAAGAACAGAGGAAATGTTATTTTAGTGCCAGGAATGCCTGGTTTATACTGGATGTTATTTTGAAATCGGAAAATTTTGAAATTTGTGTTAAATTAGCCAAATTACCAATTTCTGATCACTTTATTGGGTAGTACAAGAATGGTATATAATACCGACAAGATGAAATTAAGACACATGTGCAACATCTGGGTATCTTTATTGTAGACGTTTCGCCAACCAGTGGCTTTATCAATACAAATTCCAGGACATAACTTGAAGACAGTAGAACTATGTACAGAAGATGAGGTAATCAGTCCCTCAACCTAGGAGTAGGTGCGAAGAGCACCGTAGTCTTGGAGATTCTGAAGCAGAAGCAAGGTGCCTGACGCTTATATACTAACGTCAGGTGGAAATGGGACGGGTAGCAGGCGAGGGCATAGTCACTGGTAGGCGGGATTCCCCAGTGGAAGTAGGTCCTTCCCAAAGAGATGGGTTAGTTGTAGTAGTAGTTGTCGTAGTCGTGAAGGTTATGTACATGTCCTCAGAATCAAGATACCATGATGTTGCAGTGTCTGACAAGTTGTGTAAGAATGGTATACAATACCGACAAGATGAAATTAAGACACATGTGCAACATCTGGGTATCTTTATTGTAGACTTGTCAGACACTGCAACATCATGGAATCTTGATTCTGAGGACATGTACATAACCTTCACGACTACGACAACTACTACTACAACTAACCCATCTCTTTGGGAAGGACCTACTTCCACTGGGGAATCCCGCCTACCAGTGACTGTGCCCTCATCTGCTACCCGTCCCATTTCCACCTGACGTTAGTATATAAGCGTCAGGCACCTTGCTTCTGTTTCAGAATCTCCAAGACTATGGTGCTCTTCGCACCTACTCCAAGGTTGAGGGACTGATTACCTCATCTTCTGTACATAGTTCTACTGTCTTCTAGTTATGTCCTGGAATTTGTATTGATAAAGCCACTGGATGGCGAAACGTCTACAATAAAGATACCCAGATGTTGCACATGTGTCTTAATTTCACTTTATTGGGTAGTTGAAATAGTTAATTGGGCAGTTTCTTGTTCTCAGTCGATAAAATAAAAGGCATACTAGCAAAATAGCTAAGAATTTTGTCAACTGGAACAATGTAATTGGCATAAAAATAAAATCCAAAATGGGTAAAATCGCCGATGCATGAATATCGCTGACGCAGCAAAATTCACAATAGCGTAAGTTTGTCAATTTTCCATCAGATTTCGTACTTTTTGTTTTATTACCTTCAAAAAAGATTCTCTATCATTTCATAAGAAAATTTGTTTTTTTCTTTCGAAAATTCTTGAACCGTGTGGACAAGTTTCAGATTGGGGCTCTGGACCGTGAAAGGGTTAAATTAAGTCCCTCCCCTTCCCAGTTGTTGTTGGTGACTACAATTGACTGTTGTTGATGTTAATGTTGTTGCAAATGACCAGAGGATGCGGCATTATGGTTGCAGGTGACCACGATGCAGTGTTGGTGTTGCTGCTGGTTGCAAGGTTGATCTGGAAGGCGGACATAGTGGTGGGTGGTGTAAGAGACAAGTATCCAGCGCCAGCAGTCATAGATCGCAATGCAATACTCAAGTCCCACTCCGTTGAGCAGTACGCGTTCTCTTCTAGACTACTACAACTCCTCTACACCTTGCAGGTGTGTTTCAACACTGCACCCATTGTACATACTGCAACACTTCAGTCATCATACATACTGCAACACTTAAGTGATACATACTGCAACACTTCAGTCATTATAGATATTACTTAGGATAACAAGTTAATGTTAGTCACTAACAGTAATTTGTCTAACAGACAATGTTGCATCAGTTTCAACATGTGTTGAACACTTGCAATGTTGATGTGTTGTTGAAGCTTGGAACACTATACCCGGAGCTGGCATCACACGAACGCAACATTGATTTCTGTGTTGATCTGCTCAGGAAGGACCAGGTTAGTTGAACATTGTTAGTCATTATTAACCATACACAAATAACCCGCACATAAAAGAGAGAAGCTTACGACCATGTTTCGGTCCGACTTGGACCATTTACAAAGTCACACTAACCAGAAGTGGAGCAGGACGGCTATATATAAGCAGTCCTGCTCCACTTCTGGTTACTGTGACTTCGTAAATGGTCCAAGTCGGACCGAAACATCGTCGTAAGCTTCTCTCTTTTATGTGCGGGTTATTTGTGTATCATTCCAGTTATGGTATTGTGCCTTTTTTTGTTATTATTAACCATATTGTTCATTACTATATTGCTCATTATTAACCATATTGTTCAGTATTATAGATATTGTTCATTGAATATATATTTTTTTTATCACATTGGCCATCTCCCACCAAGGGAGGGTGACCCCCCAAAAATAAACACTTTTACCATCATTCACACATAATCACTGTCTTTGCAGAGGGACTCAGATACGACAGTTTAGACGTCACTCCAAACAGCCAATAATCCCAAACCCCTCCTTTAAAGTGCTGCATTGTACTTTCTACCTCCAGGACTCAAGTCTGGCTAACTGGGTACCCTGAATCCCTTCATCTTCATTCACTCCTATCGAACATGCTCACACATGCCCGCTGTATGTCCAAGCTGCTTGCACACAAAACCTGTTTTTTTTTTACCCCCTCCCTCCGTCCTTTCCTAGGACAACCTCTACCCTTCCTCCCCTTCACTACAGATTTATACACCCTCCAAGTCATCCTATTTTGCTCCATCCTCTCTAAATGACTAAACCACCTCAACAACCCTTCCTCATACCTACTCCTAATTTCCACACTACGAATTCTCTGCATAATACTTACTCCACACACATTACCCTTAGACACAACATCTCCACTGCCTCCAGCCTCCTCCTCGCTGCAGCATTCACAACCCATGCTTCACACCCATATAAGAGTGTTAGTACCACTGTACTCTCAAACATTCCCTTCTTTGCTTCCATGGATAATGTTCTTTGTCTCCACAGATACCTCGATGCACCACTCGCCTTTTTTCCTTCATCAATTCTATGGTTAAGTCAACTCCCAAATATCTGAACACATTCATCTCTTCCATACTCCCTCCCTCCAATCTGATATCCAATTTTTCTGTATCTAAATCATTTGATGCCCTCTTCACCTTACTCTTATCTATGTTTCACTTTCAACCTTCTTCCTCTATTATTAACAGCACGAATCATTACTAACAATGTTGTTGATGTCACCAGCTGGACGAGAACATCTCCAGTGGATGGACTTGAGAAGACAGTGACGTACTTCACTTCCCTGTACCCAGCTCACCTGCATCACAGAAGTTGAACCATACCCTCTACCTCAGTGATGTAGCCCGGTACTGTCCTCTGCTACTGATGCTACTTCCACCTACAGTGACACTGTGACTGTCTTAATGCATGTGAGTACTTACCCAGGTGATGCTGTATGTTGTAGCACTAGGAGGCTAGGATGATATTGTAACCAGGTGACACTGTAACAAAAGTAGTGTACTATAGTGTCTTCCTTTTAAAGAAGAGGAATTGATAAAAAAAATCCAGACTTCCCATTTATTATTATAATCTTTAATACAAACAAAAGTATCAACATTATAGAACAATATCTGTAACGTTGGTTACTGACATTAATGTTCTCCCATCTACCCGTTCACCCTGATGGCAGAAACGACTTGGTTGATCCGTGCCCTTGATTTGCTGTTGTAACAACAACATGGTTGATCCATATCCTTGATCTACTGTTGCAGGAATGACTTAGTTGATTCCACATCCTTCATCTACTGTTGTAGGAACAACATGGATGATCCACATCATTGATCTTACTCTTGAAGGAATGACTTGGCTGTTGTAGGAAGGACATGGTTGATCTGTGTCATTAATCTTCTGTTGTAGGAAAGAAATATATGAAATGTGGCAGGATAATATTCTCAGTATTGCTGAGGTCTGCCGTCATGGCTGAAGGCAGCACAGCCATGAACATTGCAGTCAGAATCCATCGTAACAGTTTGGGGGAGGAAGTACAGCCTCTCCATGTCCTAGTAAACCATTATTGCAGCCCCACGTTATGATGGAGTGTGGGTACTTTGCAGGTGCTCATTGTGTATGCAAGGTTGCATCTCCTGATGCAGGAAGGGCACCTCACCCTGCTTTGACCACCCTGAATTCACTGGAACATGGATTCACGTGATCACGTGACTCTCTTTTTGAGTAGAAGATACTGCAGTGAACTTACTTCTATGTAAACTGCATGTGTTGCATCTTCATCCTGGGTGTGGGTAGGGGCCCCTTGTTGCATGTCACACCACCTAGGTATCATTATTCTGAAGGTACTTCCTGAACTAGGGGCTCTCAAGGTAGGTTCCTTGATTGCTTGGAGGGGTTCTTGAACTAGTAACTAGAACCCTCAAGGTAGGATTAGTACTCCCTGTGAATGCATATAATAATATTTGACAAGGTAGTTTTCCCTGTACTTCGTGTCACAAACCTTCACTGTGTGATTGCATCGTTCATACTAACTTTTGTTCTACCCCCACAGCCACAACACGAGTCGTGCGATGTCGCTATGCTCTGCCGGGATGTGAGTGATGCCTGCAAGGAGATGAAGGGTGCCGTGCGACGCGTGCGACGCCGCATGCCGCAGGACGGCTCTGTGGGACCACTCAACTTACCCCAGGAAGTGCAAGAAGCTTTGACAGCGGCACTCTGCAACATGAACAATGCTGCAAGAGCCCTCAGACATGTTATGAAGGCTTGCTGCAACAAACTGCCCTACTGTCAGGTAAACTGCTCTTGCTACTATCAGGAAAACTGTCCTTGCTACTCTCGGGAAAGCATCTTGTTCCTACCTCAGGAAACTATCCTTCCTACTCGCAGGAAAACTGTCTTTGCTGCTATCAGGTAACCTGCCCCTTGCTGCTATCAGATAACCTGCCCTTGCTGCTATCAGGTAAACTGTCCTTGCTACTATCAGGTAAACTGTACATTGCTACTATCGGGTAAACTGTACAGGTGCTCCTCGACTTGCGATGGGTTTACGTTCTGATAAATTCGTCATAAGTTGAAAATATCAATACAGTGGACCCCCGCTTAACGATCACCTCCCAATGTGACCAATTATATAAATGTATTTAATGTAAGTGCATTTGTACGTTTATGTTTGAGGGTCTGAAATGGACTAATCTACTTCACAATATTCCTTATGGGAACAAATTCGGTCAGTACTGGCACCTGAACATACTTCTGGAAAGAAAAAATATCGTTAACCGGGGGTCCACTGTACAGTGGTCCCTCGCTTTCATAGTTCTCGGCAATCGTAGATTTCGCCCAATTAGGGGTATTTTCGTATAAAATTTGGATTTCGCTTTTCTAGGTTGACTCCCGAATAGTTCGTCCGGGACACGCGCACGGTTTTGAGGACCCGGGGGAGGCCTCCCTACCCAGGCCAGTCTGGTATTGTTTACCAGTGAGTGAAGGTCCCCTCAAGTGCTCCTACGAAATATTTCGTAATCCACTCATTTTAGTGCTTGCAATTACTAAATAAGCTACCATGGCCCCAAAGAAGCTCCTAGTCCCAAGCCTGTGTAAAGAAGGTGAGAAATATGTACGTGACAAAGTCTTGGGCCATTTTAGGGAAGTGTTAAAAAAGACGCCAGAAACAGAGCTCTCTCCACAGTTACTTTGCGAGACAGGACTAGAGTGACTCTCAAGGTGGTCCTAGTGGCATTAAGAAACAGAGAAGAGAAGCAACCCAAGAGAAGCAACTGGTACCTGAGGTGTTGCTGGAAGGAGGATCCCCTTCCAAACTGTAAATAATCCAATCTCTCTCCTCCTCCAGTCTCCCTTTCACTAGAAAATCTCCAATAAAGGTAAGTGTTATGCTGTTAATGTTTTTATTCATATTCCCATTGTATTGTTTATGTACTACATGTATATTTTTTGTAAAAAAAATTTTTGTTTTAATACTTCTGGGTGTCAGGAACGGATTAATTGTATTTACATTATTTCTTTTGGAAAATTGATTCGCAAATCGAAAATTTCGTTTATAGTAACGGCTCCAGGAACGGATTAATTACGAAAAACGAGGGACCACTGTAAGTCGAATATGATATGATAAATACTGTCACTGAATAAGTAAATAAACAAATAATTACTGTAACTAATTACCAGTATTGAAAATAAATAAATGAATAAAAGGTTTTTCTTATCAAAACCTACACTACTGTATGATGGTGATATTTCAAATTTACGTTGGTGTGATAGCATCATTGTAAAGTTCGAGTATTGTAAATCAAATCGTAACATCAAAATATCATATGTTGCACCATCATAGTCGAAATGTCGTAAGTCACGCCAAATTTTAAATTAAAAATATCGTAAGTCGAACCATCGTAAAGTCAAAGAAATACCGTAAAGTCAAAAAAATTGAAGTCGGATCATTGTAAAGCCAAAATGTCATTAACTGAACCTTGTAAAGTTGAAAATACAGCTTCTCCTCACTTAACCCTTTCACTGTCAGTCCCTTAATATTACAGCTTTAAAGCCAGTGTCGGTTCCCGTAATACTATGCCAAAACTCTAGCTGCTTCCAGTCTTGCGGGGATTAGCTGGTAGGCCTACATAGAGAGAAATGGGGTCAGAGTGGTCATGTGTCGCAGTATAAAAAAATCCTGCAGCACACTCAGTGCATAATGATGAAAAAAAACTGGCGATTGTGTTTTTGTTTAAAACCCTTTGAGGTTCGGAACGTACGTACAAGTATGGGTTTACACGCAGGGTTTATTGATGTACAAGTACGCAAAATTCTAGTGCCATCAAATCTCACGGAAAAGGCTGGTAGGCCTAGAAGTGAGATAATGTTGGTCATGTGTCTTGTGCGTGGTAAAAAAAATCTGGGACCCATGTGCATTGTGGGAATGCCATCTTAGTACACAATATCACCATGGGCCTCGCGGTAAGAATTCCTCACTCCTCGGCGAATAGGACACTTTTGTTCCCCAGTGACAGTTCAAATACAGATGGAAGTGCCAGTGAAGTTGAGTTTCAAGGTTTTGGTGATGTTTTGACCGGAAACATGAACCAAAAATCGGTAATAGTGAGGAAAACCCAGACTACCCCTCAGCCCTACCAACTCTGTGCTGGGGCCGTCTTGTTTCACGTTCAGTGTACCAGAAATCAAAGAGGAAACTCCTATTTTCCCAAATCCCAGACTCAAATGGTGAGCATTTGTGATGATAGGATATGATTGATGACTACAAGCTCTAGAAAACAGTTCTAGTAAGTGATAGTTAAGTGCAATATTCCCCAGTGAAGCGTCATAAATGTACTACGATATATGCGCTCTGGTAGTGTGCCATATGGTATTCCCAAAGGGGGAAGGAGTACATCTCGGAGTACATCCCATGGCGGGTACAACGGAAAACAGACAGTGAAAATGACGATGATAGTGTTGAAATTTGGGGATGGAAAATGTGCGTGGTGGTGGTAGTGGTGGTGACGGCTGTGAGGCACCAGCAGTGGGCCATGCTGCCACCCACGCTGCCACCCACGCTGCTGCCTCAGCTGATCTACAACAAAGGCCACCATCTCCCACCCACCCACCACACCAGCCTCCACAACCACAACCGCAACAACCACAACCACCTGTCATTGACCAGTACCCACCAGCAGACCGCACCTGGGATTGGCAGGAAGCTGTCAATTTTGTTCCAAATGCCCACCAGTTTGATGACAGCCAAAGTGGAATACGGCCATCTTGTACACTTGGGAAACAATGCCACTGAACTGGAAAGTTTCGAGTTAAATTTTTTGATGAACCCTGATCGAAAGTATTGTCATGGAAAGCACAGATACTACGAGTACACCATGGCAAAACACATTACTTTTTACCAAAATCACGTCTTTCACCAGTGGAAGGAGGCAACTGTGGCTGAGATGCATCTTTTTCTTTGCCACAATAATGCTTATGCCATATGTGTTATTAAACACAAAAATGAAATTTAAATGGTCAACAGACCGCCTGATTGCAACCCCCGGATTCAGTGAATATAATGCCCGGTGAATCAGTTTGTGCTAATGTTACATAGCTTCACTTCTCAGACAAAAACAGACCTGACAGAAATGACAGGCTATATAAGATTAGGCATGTGTTTGTGTATCTGAAAGAGGGAAAATTTAATATGTATTTTTTATCCCTTCAGGAAGCTTGATTCTGTTCAAGGAAGACTCTCAAGCAGTACATACCCAAACAAGAGGAAACGCTTTGGTATAAAGTTGTTTGTGCTTTGTGAGTGTTACAGTGGTCTGGTATTGAATATTATTGTGTACCCCTGAAGTTATACATTGCTTTAAAAACCAGGGAAATTATTGGGCATCTTGGTGATGTGGTTAGAACAATGATAGAACCATACCTGGTAAGGGGCATATATATTATACTGATAACTGGTACACAAGCCCCTCACTCAGGGATTTTTTGCGAGTGAACATGACAGATGTGTGTGGCACAGTGCGAGTAAATCGGAAACATATGCCCAGGTTTGATGCTGGCACTTGTAGAGATGAGGTGCAGGCGTTTGCTGCCAATGACATCATGGCATTTCGGTGGCATGACAAACGAGACGTCACACTGTTGTCATCAGTTCACCCTAATGAAATGGCAGACACTGGCAGGCAGCATAGAGAGAACAATGAACCCATTCTAAAACCTGTAGCTGTGATTGATTACACCTTCAACATGCGTTCAGTGGACAAATGTGACATGCAGATTGGGTTTGCTGATTGTGTTCGCAAGAGTTATAAGTGGTACATCAAACTGTTTTTCCATCTTCTGGACATTTCCATGCTCAATGCTTATAATATGTATAAGATGAGGACCAGAAACAAACCACAGTACGGTGAATTCTGTTTGTCTGTCATCAGACAAATAGTATTCAAGTACCAAGGAACAGCACCCGCAATAGACCGCCCACCAAATTATCAACAACTACTTGCTCGTCTGAAGCATGGTGATCACTTCCTGGTAAAACTGCCCGCTACTGCTTTCAAGAAAAAGGCTCAGAAGAGGTGTTACGTCTGTTCACATACAAAAAAACGCCCACAACAACGCAGAGACACTCGTTTTATGTGTGAGGAGTGTAAAATACCACTGTGCATGACACCATGTTTCAAAGAGTTCCACAGGCTGCAGAACTTCTAGAAACATGTCCTGTGACTGTATATGTGTATATAAAATATAGAAAAATAGTAATAAACAACATTTCATATTGTTTGTTTGTGTAAATATTTTCTATAAACAAAATAATGACAACAGTGTTTATGCCCTTATTGTGTAGTATTGAAAAAAAAAAAACTTACAAAATACTGATCATGTTGGCCTCACAGGCCATAAAAGTTACTTGGAAAAAGAAAAATTAAAAAATAATAGAAATTAGTACATAAGAAAGTAAATAAAAGAATACCGGGAGACGGCAGTCGGCGATGTTGCCACATTGTCCCCCTTTTTCATCAACTTCACGCCTCCATATCTCCGTAAGTATTGATGGTAAAAAATTTTTGTTTAGCCTATAATATTTAGAAAAAAAAACTTTTTTTTTTTTTTTTTTTTTTTTTTTTTTTTTTTTTTTTTTTTTTTTTTTTTTTTTTTTTGAATTTGGCCGACCCTGAGAACGAGTCTCTGAGAGTACCAGCTGTATAGTCCTTGTGGCTTAGCGCTTCTTTTTGATTATAATAATAATCTGAGAGTACCTGTCGACCCTCAAAGGGTTAAAGCAGCAACTTTGCATTG